AAAAAAAAAAAAGGAGACTTTTTGACCACAAATAAATTGACGGCCGTGCATCTGAGTCGTCCTGCATCACGCGTTCAACAATACAAAAACACAAAGCAGAGTCTTTGGGTGTTGGGAAGCACGTCACGACGTTGCACGGATTTGGGTTACACAACCGTACTGTAACAATTGTTGCTGAGCATCTTCTGATTGTCGAGTTAAACGTCTTTGTCGGCTCCCGGCGTGCTTCAAGTTGTGAGCACATCGTCGAGCGCAGTGTCGATTTTTGAGAAAATTAAAGGCTTGTAACGGCGCCTTATAGTTCGGAAAATACGGTAAATATTAATAAATAGTAATAAATAATAAATAGAAAAAGTACATATTTATACATATAACATATATAATATATATTATACATTGTTATAGTCATAGTATGTCATAAAGTAAGAAGAATAGTGAGATGCTAGTGGGTTTGTTAGCATAGGAGATCTTTGAAGAGAAACGTTTTTAAGCGCTTCTTGAAAGATGGTAGGGGGGGAGACCCTTCTCTCGTGGAAGTTGGTAGTTTGTTCCATCACGTGGGAACCTTTTTTTTTTCTCTTGCTTTTGTTTAACCAATAAATGTCTCTTATTCTTTTCCTTTTTTTTTTGTTATTGTTATTGTTGTTTTCCCTTTTCCTATTCTTCAGGTGGCTTTAATGTCCAAGTCCTCATCAGTATGTGGTGCTCTCGATTCTTCTCTTCAGGTTATGGTCACTCAGTCTTCTCCGTCTGTAACCCCGGTGCTCAGTCCTCAGATTCCCACCAAAGACAGCAGCCAGTCCCAAGTGAGTCTGTGTTCTAGTATAAAAGTCACGCTGTTTAATCAGCTCGATGAGATCATATCCCCCTTTTTCCCTCCCAGAATCCACCTGTCCCTGCTGCACACCTGAGTGACTCGCCACAGATCTATCTCACCAGTGTCGGAGAACAGTCCTCCCTTATTCCACTGTCTTCTGTGGGAGGAGGGTCACCCAGTACCCAGCAAGAATCCGCTGCTCATCAAACTCACCCACCTCATGTCTTTGTTATCATAAACCCTCCTCCTCGGCAGCAGCAGCAGCAACAACAGCAGCAACAACAGCAGCAGGCAGCCTTGATCCCTGCCTCTGCTACCTCCGTGGTCTCCCGTCTTCTACCCTCTGTTCCTCCTCCTTCCCCTCCAGCACCTCCCGCCACTCCTCCTCCTCCTCCTCCTCCTGTGACTCCCTGCCCGCTTCTCTCAATGGCCGCCTCCCGTCCCGTGGCGTCTCTTCCTCCTCCCACAGTCGAAGTTCCTCCTCGGTCTGATTCGAGTCCTCTTCCCGCCGCAGCTCTTCCTCCTCTCTCGTCTGTAGTTTCCCCCTCGCAGTTCCCCGTGGCTCCGCTCTCCTCCATCGTCATAAAGGAGGAGAACCTGCTGTCAAAGGAGCTGCTGGACATGGTTACTCTTGATGAAAATCAAGTCAATAGGGTGAGAATTAGATAGCAGACGTCTGCCTGACCAGGTAGAACGCAGAGTTCTGTTGTGTTGTGGCGCTGTACACCTCCGACAAAGAAAATGTGAAATGTATGTGAGTGGTCAGCTAAACTCAAATAATCAATACCGTCGTTGTAATAATCCAAGACATGGCCGCCTGGCACATAAAAAGTCTTTGGTTTTTTTTTTTTTTTGCTTTGACTCGTTTGTAATGTTCTTTTCACAGAGTCCTGCTGCTGCTTCTCTTCGTCCTCCTCCGTTAAGTGAGCCTCCACAAATCTATCTGACCAGTGTTGGAGATCCGGCCTCCCTTACCACACTGCTCCCAGTGCCTCCCGTCAGAGGTCCGGGGAGTCCCTCCCCTCCACCTCACATCTCTGCTGGGATTGTAAGGTCGCAGAAGGACGTGTGCAGCACAGTCTCCTCCTCCTCCTCTTTAACAAATGTACCAGAGTCGGCTTCTCACCCGTCTCACCAACCACAAGTCTTTCTTATTATCAACCACCCTTCCTCTCAACATCAGCAACAACAACAACAGCAGCAGCAGCAGCAGCAGCAGCAGCAGCAGCAGCAGCAGCAGCAGCAGCAGCAGCAGCAGCAGCAGCAGCAGCAGCAGCAGCAGCAGCAGCAGCAGCAGCAGCAGCAGCAGCAGCAGCAGCAGCAGCAGCAGCAGCAGCAGCAGCAGCAGCAGCAGCAGCAGCAGCAGCAGCAGCAGCAGCAGCAGCAGCAGCAGCAGCAGCAGCAGCAGCAGCAGCAGCAGCAGCAGCAGCAGCAGCAGCAGGTAGCCGTGACTTCGTAGCCGTGACTTCCGCCGTGACTTCTCCTCCTGCCGTGGCTCCATCTATTTCTGTTCGTCCTTCCATTGTCATTAAGGAAGAAATGAATTCAGAGCAGGAGCTGCTGGAGATGGTGTCCCTCGAAGAGAAACGTGTCGACGAGGTAGAGACTTTTGAATGTACATCAGTAGATCTTTTTTTTCCAAATTAGACCGCACTCACTGGGGTATCTGTTGTTCTCTTTCCTTTTTCTTCTTGAGGTTCCTCAGCTGATTTGCGACGACTCTGAGCAACGCCTCACCATTGTGGAAAACCCTGTCAGTCTGGAACATGGGGTCAAAGGGAAGCAAGTTCTAACGTGGGAGCAAAGGAGGGACACACTGACGGGTTAGTGTGGCAAACGGGTTGCTCCCTGGTTTGATTGAAGTTGATTTTGTTTTTTTGTTTTTTTTTAATGTTCTATTAAACTGGGTTCATATTTAAGGGTTACATTTTCCATTGTGCTTAATATGCACTGGTGCATTGGTATTATTTTGCCCATAAATAGATAGGTGAGAGAATTGGTTGGTGATTAGATGATGTGTAAATTTTTTTTGTGGCCACTATTGGGGCCCTGATATAAAAAAATATGTTTATTTTAAGGGAGGTCGGAGGTTGCGAAGCTTTTGTGATGTAGCAAAACACACTGTTTTGTTTGTATTGAGACAGATGCACAGAGTGAAGATAGATAGATGATAGATGATAGATTCACCACCAAAATTCTATTGGCTCCCATTGGGTCCTAGAGACTTGCTAAAGTGGAAGCCTCGCTTTTGACCTCAGGGGAATTTTTTTTTAACCAATTTGATAACACAAAAAACCTTAAAAGTTCTTATGGCCCACCCATTGCTCTCACTAGTTTTTTTTTTTTTTAGTTTCCTTTTAATCACCTAAGGTGATGACTTTCATTCTGTCTTCTTTACACTTTTATTGTCTGGTCAGATCCATCTGTCTCTCTGGTGACCTCCAGCTCAGCATTGGTCACTGTTACCGCTTCAGTGACAACCTCTTCCTCGTCCTCAGCTCCTCCAAGACCAAAGAAACCACGGGGACTGGAGCTGCCCTCCTCTCCATCTCTCCCCGCTGGTCTCTCTATGGATAAGGTTTGCGGCTTCTGACCTTTATCATTAACCGTGTGACAGGTGCAGCTATGGTGTTAAAGCAGGGATTTTTTTTGTGCTGCGTTTTGTTTACAGGTAAATGCTGCAGTCAACAGTCTTCTGGCTCCGGGATCAGCTACCAACACTTTAACACCGACCGTCATCCCCTCGCATGCTTTGGTACGTGAAGTCTGTCCGTCCGTCCTTTCTTCTCATGTCTATACATTTGACAAAAGTATCCAGTTCTTAATCAGGGTACCTGTGGTGTCCTTATAACTTAAATTCTTAAATGCGAATTCTACAACAATTTATTTGTGGCTAAATGATTGTGAAGAAATGTGTTGATACAATAGCCAATTATATATATACACACAGTGTTTCCTCTCTATCGCAGTTCTCCTTTTGCTCAGTAAATCACAGTTTTTTTTAAAAAAAACGTTTTGCTATATCATGAGGTTTTGGTTTTTTTTTACAGGAAATGTTTTCTTTTTTCCAATATTTTCAGAATTTTTGAGATACAAAACATTTTCTAACCTAAAACAATTAAACAGTAAAAACGTTAGCAAAAAAAAGAAACTAAAAGACATTTTTAAATAATTATACATACATGAAAGTATGGGGCTGCACCTGCGCTCCTGTGCTCTCGCGCTAACCAAATTTCTTATCGCCCTTATATTATCATTACGGTACTCGGTACTGAATCCCCCACAACAGTGAGCTTCGATCTAGTCCTGCATTTTTTTTTTTGCTCATCCTGATCCCTTTCTTTCTACCTTTGTCTACCTTTAGCTTTTCTTTGTCTGTCTCCACGTCTTGTTTTTACTAAAATACTGTATGCATCTGTGTCCAGACTCCGGTCCTGTTGACTCCCAGTCCTCTGCCCTCCACCATACACTTCTGGAGTACGCTCAGTCCCATTGCTCCTCGATCTCCAGCCAAACTCTCTTTCCAGGTAAAAAAAAAACCCAAAACACACACCGCCTAACACACACGCTGTGCTCCACATGCACTGTATCTGGTCCAAGTCTTGGGCATTCTGCAGGTCTCGAGCTCTCTCAAGTTTACTGCCATCTGTAATTGGATTCTGACCTTTTGCACATGTCAGAAATTCTTTGCTATTTGTAGCCACAAATTACTTTGAAACCACAACAATCACAGTTTGTTTTTCTTTGTCTCCTCCTTCTGGAGCGGCTGAGAACAACAGAGCAAAAATTCTTCCACTGTTTATCAGTAAAGGAATTTTATCATAAATTCAGATTCTTTGAAAATACATGAATTTTTTTTTTTTTTTTTTTTTGTAATGAACTGAAATCTTACGATCTTCATGGTCTTCATACTGCTGCTGAAGAAATGACCTCAGCTTTTTAAAAACTGGAGACATGTCTAGTGTGTTGTCTATATTGCACAGAGTATAAATCATTGCAAAGTGAAACTTTGGTTGTAAACGGAAATACATTTGAGAACCTGATAACATGTATATTTCTATCTGTACAAACCACTGTGTGAGTTGCTGCCCCCTAGTGACTGGAGGCTTGTTAGCATTCAAGCATTATAGCAGTGGTACACTTATGTACATATTCCATTGGAAGCCCCTTACAGCCCCCTGGTACCCTGTGCCCGAAAGGGGGCCCGCCCCACTATTTGAAAAGCACTGCTATATACAGTAATAACACAGAGTTGATTTGTCATTTTGTTAAAACCAACCACAACTTCTGTTCAATTAAGATTTAAAAAAAAGTTGAGTAAGTGAGTTAGTGAGTCAGTCAGAAATCCCTGCTTTCATTTTAGTGGGAGCAGATAGAACCCCAGGTAAGCAGCTGTTAGCAACAACGATGGCATCAGAGTTCAGTAGAGGCAAAAAAAAATACTATTGTTATATAGGATTAGGAAACGGACGTTTCACAAATGTGAATTGTTTCATTTATGGTGCAAGTTTAGCATTTGCTATGCAGCATGGAGTGATTTTCCTTAAAAAAATCACACCAACTTTTTCCAGGACTTTCCTGGGAAAGCAATCTCTCTGCAATGAATATTCTCTAAACCAGTACTTCTCAAAGAGTGGCGCGAGTTGGGGCGTAAGGGGCTTCCAATGGAATATGGCACGCTGGATATACAGTGATATATACGGAAAGTATTCAGACCCCTTTAAATTTGTCACTCTTTGCTTCATTGCAGCCATTTGCTGAAATCAAAAAAGTTTAAATTTTATTTCTCATTAATGACCACCCAGCACCCCATCTTGACAGAAAAAAACAGAAATGTAAAAAAAAAAATTGCAAATTTAAATTTTAAATTATTGTCCACAATAAACGTAATAAATAAACAATAAACGCGCTGTCCACGTTTATTGAGCCACCTCCGACTCCAGTTGCGCCGGCGCCTCTTTTTTTTCTCGAATTTTCAGCGCACAGAATCGCAGCAATCATAATGGCAGCCTTCTTCTTTTTGAATAGCATGTTGCTAACAACCCGCGTCGGAGCTTTTAAAAAAAAACTTTATTGACAGCTGTCAATAGTTGTTCGTGTTCGATGATCGGACCGTACAGTGTGAGTAAATCGTGAGCGTTGTCCGTACATCGTAGACGATTGCTCGTACAGTGTGCGATGGTATCAACGACAAGCTTTTCAAAAAATCGTACAGTCCACGTGCGGCCTAAGTGTTGGTTGGTTATGTTTATCTGATTGTAATTGTTTACCGTATTTTCTGGACTATAAGTCACTCCGAAGTATAAGTCGCACCAGCCGAAAAAATGCCTCATGAAGAAGATAAAAACACATTTAATTCACTTTAATTCACAGTATGTCACGCAAGCTAGCTGGAGTGCCCCCTAGCTGCTGTCAGTTTAAAAATAATGAACATGTACGTTTTCAGTGATACATGAGTAGCAGATACTGGTGCACAAGCCTAGAGTGCCCTCTAGTGGCTGTCAGTGTAAAAACAACACACGTAAAAATTAAATGTTGTCATTTATAAGTCGCACCTGAGTGTAAGACGCAAACCCAGCCAAAGGATAAAAAAAAAAAAAAAAAAAAATTGCGACTTATAGTCCAGAAAATATTGGGATTTCATTATTACGGATCATAAATCTCTTTCTCCCTCTCCAGTTTCCGTCTAACGCCAGTAACCACATCCCCATCCCAGCTTTGAGTGTGGACGGTCTGTCTACTCCTGTTGTTCTGTCTCCTGGTCCTCAAAAACCCTGAACACCAGGACTTGGACTCACCTTATGGTTCATCTCTCTCTGGAAGCACAGAGATAAACTGTAACTGTGCCTGGACGTATTCTGATGTGAATCCCAGTCCTCCATCTATAATGATGTTGTTGGATGTATCAGAGGATTCTTCTCCAGGATCATTGTCTTATTCCGGAACATTCAGATGGGGTTTCAGGAGGACGGCATTTGATTATCCATAATGGACAAAATCAGATGAACTTTTATCCTGATTCTTTTTTTTTTTGGGCATTTCTCGTTTAATTTCTTTTGTGAATTCCTTCATAATTGGAAAAAGGTCAGGAGGATGAAGAGCAGTCATTTTTTTAACAGAGTTTTTTTTTTTTTTTCCCCCCTCAGTCCATGTGTTACAATGTGACGTCTGTCGAGCTAATACTGTACCTTTGTCGTGATTCCCTGCGTTGCTGTCCTTGTTCACATTCCTGACTTTTTTATTGTCTCGTTTTTTTTTTGGTTTTTTTTTTTCATAAAGCAGCTCTGATAGGTGATTATAATTTGTTCCTCAGTATCTCCGATTCGTGGCCTTTCTGATCTGCAGCGATCAAGTTGTGAGAGAAACAAAAAAAAATCATTTTGTTGTTGTTGTTGTTACCTGCAGATGATTGAAGAGGATGCACAAGGTAGGTTTAGATTTTTGTTTTAGGAACAAGAGAGGAACTAAATTTCAAAATACATCAAATGCATATCCATATCCTTTCACTGTTAGCACTTTTATATAATCAACATCTGCCATGGTGCGGTTAGCCGCTCGAACACTGCTAGCAACACCTAAGCTACAGTAGCATAATTAGTAATAATAATTAGTTATTAAGCCTCACCGCAAGCACCTGTGCAACTATAGCCATCCTGACTAATTAACCACTGCTGTTGTGCTCAGTTTTTGCTGCGCTGGTCACAATTAGCAGTTAGCATTTCCCCGCACCATTAAACTCTCTCACATCGCTACTACAGTAAAAAGCAGTTAGTAAAAGTTAAACGTGTCACTTTACAAGATTGGAAGTCGTATAAGTACATTGTTTACATTACATTGTTCAGATTTCTTCTTCAAACAACTTCTTTTTGATAAAATAAAAATATATATTTGCATTTGCAATTGAATGTATATTTAGCTATTTGGTTAGAGAGGGTTTTTTTTTTTTTTTTTTTCTGTCCTCTTTACAGCAAGGATGTCTTTGTAAGCCCGGGTGTATTGTTAAACGTGAACTAAAAGTCTTCACAAAAACAGTAGCAGGAGGGAGAACTGCTGGAAAAAACAAAGTTTTATTTGTATGAAATCGCCAAGTGAGCAATGAGCTTATTACCTGTTGTCTTCGGGGCAGACTGTTATTTGTGACGCTAGCTGTGTTTGTAATGCTAACTCGACCTGACCTGCGCATGATTGTTGACTCTGATTGTTGGAAATGATGCCATTTTGTGCAGTGATTTGTGTAAAAAAAAAATTGACACACACACACACACACAAAACTCAATCATGCCATCATGTTTGGATTATTCTGTTAAATCAATCTGTAAAGCTGTTTCCCCCGGGGATGATTCCTTTTTGGGTCAGCGTGAAAGGTGGACGTGAACTGTGGCAGACACCAAAAAAATCCACTCTCTGGTCGGGCGGTCGGTCTCAATATCTTGACATATTCTTAGACTGCTCTCCATTGAGCCCAGGAATGACTTGTTTTCGGTGAAAACTCTTTATCTACTTTAATGTTATCTCAATTGTAAGGCTGCACATTAGGGTAGGAGCAAGTGACGACAACTCACAGTGAGAATGTCACTGCCGTTCATCCTGACCCGTGTCGTTTTGTGTAGAGTTTATATAGGTTTTCATTCGGTGGCATTGAACGCTTGAAAGCTTCAGTCACAACCATCATGTTGAGGGTCACATGAGAAGCATTTTAGACCTGGGGGGCCGTATGTGGCCCGTTCTGCCTTTTTAATCCGGCCCGCCAAACTTTATAAATTATATAATTTATTTCTATTATTATCATTATACTTCTGCCTTTTTCCCTGCAACGCCTACGTTTCCCCAATAGGTGGTGTAGAAACCGATAAGAGTATTTTAGCCTTTGTGCATGACTTTTAAATGTCGTTTATCTTAGTTCATACGAACGCTCCATCTATCTATCTATCCGCTCCTGAACCCGGCCATTCCATTCTATTTTCGGACAATTGAGGCCCCCGCGAGTCAAAGAGCTCGCCGACGCCTGTCCTACACTAACGAACAAAACATCATTCCAAGTTATTCCGATCTTTTGATAATAACGTCACGTCCTGTAGGTTAGAGTGCGCAGCCCTGTTTCCGCCTTGGTGCAGCTGGAAGCCATCATATTGGACTGTTGCTAAAGCATGATTCTATTTTTCTATCAGTGAACTATTTTTTTAGTCAAAAGTTCTGACGAGAGGAAAAGCCTTACGCGGATTTACGTCGAAACAGATGTCACCGACGTCCAAGAAAGATATAACTTATGTAACTGCTCAATCTTGTTTTAAATCTGCATGATGTTTAAAAAAAAAAAAGCCATTTATTGCCATTTTTCCTTTCACCAGCAGTTTTACACATTTTTATACACTGCAGTTGTAGTGGTGACTTTTAGGTAAAGTGGTGATCTGTCGCCCCCTGTAGGGGGAAACTGTAAATGAACCAGATGTTAAAATGTATGTTATGCCCTTTGTGACAACACTCATCTTCTGGACTGTGTGCTGAAGCGCATACCTCACTTTCACTACACCCATCCTCCTGTTTGGAGGAATATGTCCCGACTTCAACGGGTCGTGTGTTCATCCAAAGAGGGCGTGGTTTGCGTTGTTTAATGGCTGCAGCTGATGAAAACTGCAGGCAATGTTTACAAGAAATGCTAATATTTTTTTATGACATTCAATCAGAAGAACTGACCAGTGATGATGTAAAATACATGTAGAACCGTTAGATAAAATGGTGTTTCAAATTCATTCAGGTAATTCGGTGGTTCCCAAACTTTCACCCCCCTTTGGTTCACAAGAACATTTTTAACACCACCCCCCAAAAAAAAAAAAAAAAAACATGTAAAGAACCTGTGGCCTTTTCTTAGGTTACACCTGAGACCTTGACTTTCAAAAAGATTTTGGAGTCCCTTTTTGCTCAATCGGTTCTACGCTTATTTGGGGCAAAATGTCACCGCACAAAACGTGTTTCTATACGTACAGTAGATACTGAAAGCTTCTCTATATTGACCATAATTTCTGTCCGTTATGTGTTATGTACATTTGTCAGTGGTCATCGTCATTGCTGCTGTCAAATATAGCACGGCTCCCCCCTCCCTTCTTGCCTCTAATAGGCGGATGAGTTTATTGTTGGAGGGGCTGGGACCTGCTTTTATTTTTTGAGACAGAGCTTGACGTGTCCGCGTGTAATCCTACTGGAAGAATTCAAACTATTTTTATGGTGTAAATGTTCTCGTTTTCTACTAGCTCTCAGTGGGTACAACAATAAAACTACGTTGTTCTGAAGATCCCGCTGCATCTTTTTTTTTTTTTAATAAATATATATATTCTGAAAATGATCATCTTTTCCAAATGTATGTGTGGGTTGAGCAATGTTGGTCCGTCAAGGCCGGGCAAAGAAACCCAAATTTGATTTTTTTTTTTTAGTGAATTTGGAACAAATTATACACACGGGTTTTTGTTTTTTTTTGACATTTTTAGAAAAAAAAAATTCTATGACAATAGTCAGTGGTTGTTTTGAGTCAATTTTTCCACAAAAAAAGGGGGTAAATTTGGTATAAATATATACATGGTTACACATTTTATAGTATTTTGATGCATTTTCAAACACTGATGTACTTTTGTACTTTTTTGTTTTTGCTTTCTGCTAGTCTGAACAGTGTCAGAAATATTGACTTGATATTTGTAAAATAATACAGATTCTGATACACAAGCCTACAGTGCCCTCTAGTGACTGTCAGTGTGAAAATAACAAACGTAAATGTTCAATGGTACAGGAGTAGCAGATAATGGTACACAATCCTAGAGTGCCCTCTAGCGGCTGCCAGTGTGTAAATAACTAACATGTGAAATGATATACAGTAATACCTTGAGATACAAGTGTCCAAACATACGAGTATTCCAAGATGCGAGCAAGCGTTCAAGCCAATTTTTGCTTTGACGTACGAGTAAAGATTTGAGATACGAGCATGTTTACCGAAAGGATTATGCTCATATCTCAAGGTATTAGTGTTTTTTAATATATAAGTCACAAACGTAGCCAGAGGATGAAAAAAGTGCAACTTGTAGTCCAAAAAAAAGGTCTATGTTTTTAAACAAATTCTATTTCAGCCATATATATGTTGGAAGGGGACGATGCCAATGCCAAAAAGTACGACAGGACAGACTGGACTTTTAGCATTAGCATTAGCATGGATGATGATAAAAAAAGGACTTGTTGAAACTTCCCAAAAACCCTGGGTAAATTTTTCTTTTTTTTCCCTTGATTCGTCCCTCTTCACCTTAATTCTAAATTCTATCTTCTCTCTACTTCAGCTCACCTGCAACTACCTGTTATTTTTTTATTGCTTTTACCTCCTCAACACTATTCCCCTCTCCTAAAAAAAAAATCGGACTACAGTGGATGTGTTCCCGGTTTGCCAGTAGAAGCAGAGAATTTGAGGTCATTGTTCAACCCACGGTGTTAGCCTCAGTTTTAAGGGTCAACAAGGTCAAATCGGCAATTCAACTAGGATAATATGAATTTACCAAGTGTCGAGCTTGTCAAACAATGAGTCATTTCTTCCATCTTTCCTGGTATATATTGTAAAGTTTGTAAAGTTAGTATATATGTATATATATGTATATATGTATATATACACATATATATGTATATATATTGTAAAGTTTGTAATGTTATATTGTTATATATGTATTATGTATTATGTAATGTTATATATACATAAATATATATATGTATATATATACATATATGTTATATTGTTATATATGTATTATGTATTATGTAATGTTATATATACATAAATATATATATGTATATATATAAAATATATGGACACAAAATATGTATATATACATACAAAAATATATATGTATACACACACATATACACATAAATATATATGTACATATATAAAATATATGGACACAAAATATGTATATATACATACAAAAATATATATGTACACACACATATACATAAATATATATGTACATATATAAAATCACTCCATAAAGGACCAATTTTATGATTTACTTCTTTTATCGTCCCATTGTTTTAGTTATCTTTTGTTTTTGCGTCATTAAAAACACATTTCTTAAAAATAATTTCATTGAAATGAAAAACAAACCGTTTAATTACGAGGGTTTTCTTTTAATGTAACCCCCGCCCCCCAAAAAAGCTGTGTTTATCTTCCAATTGTTACGTTGTCGTGTTACATACTTATGTTACGGCTTTAAATGATATTGTCTTTACAGTAGAATACTAGTAAAACTTAAAGGAGACGTAGAAGATGATAAATGGCGACGATAGTGATAACAGTGATGTAAAAGAATCCTCAACAAGAGAATCTGGAGCATTACGTCATGTCCTCCCCTCTCTTTCCCCCCCTCCCGCCCCCCGTCTTCCCGTTCTCAACTGTGATTGGCTCCTCACTCTAGCGATTTCGAAATCTCATTGGCGGATCCCGAATCTGCTGCTGCTGCTGCTGCGGCCCTGACACAGGACAGGAGGAGCAGCAGCAGGATGAACGGGAGGAGGGGGAGCGATGCTGCACATAAAAAAGGGGTCCAAAAATCAGAACCTGGATCAAGCGAACCAACATTAGTATGAGAACTGCCATTAACCGGCAAATTCCCCGATCCTGAATCGGAATCTGCGTGTCATTCTACTCCGTCTGTCAGGAGGAGCTGTAGGCGATCAAGGTGAGACAAGAGGGGCAGGTCCTGTCCTCCATCATCTTCATCTTTGTCGCCTTCGTCCTAATTTAAGACACTGGGTCAAATCCAAACCAGAGTTCATGTTTGTTGTTGTTTTTTTTTCCCAGTTTTTCAGTTCAGTTTTTCAGTTAGTGGCGTCAGTTTTAAAATAACGCTATCGTAAAGTGAAGTTATATTTTGGGTCAAACGGACATCCGTAGCTACCTGGAAATGACAAAATGATTTGGTGACAGAAAATGTTATGACGTACAGTCTTTTCTTGGGAGCTCCCAGAATACCTTTTCAGTAGTTATTAAACAATCATAAACGGAGGGGGAGTGTATATGTATATTTATATATGACACGTATATGTATATAAGGGGTGGTGGTGGTGTATATGTTTATTTATATATGACACGTATATGTATATGTGTGAATATATATACACATATGTGTGTATATATTATATATGATTTTATAGTTTATATATACATACTGTATGTGTGTGTACATATGTATATGTATGTGACACACACGTATATATACTAAATATATATATATCTGACAGTCATATATATATAGTATATCACTGACTTTAAAATACAGTGAAGTTCCTAAAGCCCCGGTGACTTGTTCTGTGTCATATTAGATGCTAGTGCAGGCATGGGCAAACTAAGGCCCGGGGGCCGGATGCAGCCCGTTCATCTTTTTAATCGGGCCCGCCAAACTTTTCCAAATGATATAAATAAATGATTTATTTATATTATCATTATACTTCTGCCTTTTCCCTGCAATACCCATGTTTAACCAATAGATGGCATAGAAAATGCTAATGCTCCAATCGTGGCCCGCGACTCAACTAATTTGCCCAGCCTGTGCTAGTTGTCATGCTGGTGTAACCCGGTCACTAATTTTATTAACAATTAATAAACTGCGCGTTTTAAGGTTTTAATTTCGAACTTTATAGGCGCCTGCATAGGGTTAGGCTGCGTTCGATAGAAGAGCGATGGAGACGGACGACTGAAGGAAGGGTTAGGAGGAAGAAAGTAACGCACATGTGGTCAGAAAATTCGATGACATAGGGGAAATTGTGAAGACAAGGAAGGCTTGAGTGGCTGAAAGTTGAATATGATAGATTGAATAGACTGAAAACATTGTATAATTAATCTCTATTTGTTCTTATTTAGTTTGTTTAATTTAAAAAAAATAAAAAAATAAAACAGCTCTATTGTCAGAACCTAGAGTGAACGTAGCTTAATCTGGCCTATGCATTCTAAACAGGCGCTACACCAGGCGTGCCAAAATGGGTCCTAAAATTTGACAGGACCCATTTAAAAGTCCTCCATAAAGGCTAAACTGCTAAAATGCTTTTTATCACTTTTTACGCCATCTATGGGGAAATGTGGGCATTGCAGGTAAAAGGCAGAAGTATAATGATATATATATATATATATATATATATATATATCATTATATATGTATAAATTAATAACATAATTTGGATACGTTTGGCGGTCCAGATTAAATAGCCAAGCGGGACGATTCCGGCCCCTGACCGTAGTTTGCCCATGCCTGCACTACACTAACACTAATGTTAGTATGTGACTCACCATTTGTCACCTCCTCTCTTGGTCTGCTGCCTTCTTCTGGTTTACCTTGTCTCCAGACTTCTCTGCTCGACACATCTCTTCAGTTCTTCTATTCTTGTTACCTCCCCTCTTTTTTTTATTTTTACTCCCTCCGCCTCTCTTTCTTTCTAAAATTAGGTGACCTGGTGGCTGATAATATGCCTGGTGTTTGTGTGTATGTGAGTGTGAGTGTGTGTGTGTGTGCGAGCTCCTGTACTGCACGACGTGCGCCAACTTTTCCTTATACTGATTCTAGTGCAGGGACACTCGGTGTGTGTTCTTAGCTTAAACTGGGTTACTTCTGATTTATTGCAGGTTTTTTTTTCTACCCTATATTAACAATAAGATCAATTATGCTTTCACTCTGTTTGATTTTTTTTTTTTTTTGCAGAAACCTAACACTAAAGTCTTTCTATGTGTGTTAATTAACATCATCTGCATCAGAAAACTGAGCGAGTCTCACCCAGTGTTCAATTATTAATACCTCCTCATCAATATTCATCTGTTCTGCAGAAGAAGAGATGCAGTAAAAAAAAAAAAAAAAAAAAAGCTAAGTTT